GCGAGCGTGACCCCCAAAACACTGACAGAACGGAAACCAGTTCTTTCGGGTACTTCGGCTCTCGATGGATGCTACCGTACCTTGAGAACCTGAAGATCTGACCTTTCGGTCATCGTGATTCAGCGGTACAGGTCGACTAATCCGGACGAAGAGATGATGGGTCGTCGACGAGTAAATTGCGTGGTTGTTTCGTCGTCGTCGTCGTCATCGTCAGAGTGGTCGGCGTCGCCGTCTTTACCAGTAAACACAGTGAAAGGTAAACAGACAGTGAAAGTAAATGCGCGGCAGTTAGGCGGTGAATCAAACGTCGAACGGTACTGTTTGAAACAGGCCAAAAAGCCGCCGGCCGGTCGAGATATGCCTACGACGTCCAAGCAACGGATTATCCGATCCGATCCGATCCGCGTCACGTCGCACCGTGTACACGCAAGCTGCTCCGGCCGGCAAGCACAAGTGTTCGTCCACCTGGCAACAAGCAGTACGTGTCATTATGACGATGGTGATGATGGTGATGATGAGCGTCACCGCCGTCGCACCGTTTAGCACCACCACGGTTCACCGTACATCGCCGTCGTCATGTGGTAGTTTCTTTCTTCTGCTTACCGCTCTTCGATGACTACGACGTTGGCTAAGTCGACAGTGGTTTTTGAGCGGCCTACATAGTTGATGGACACATCGGCGGCCGGTGGTGACTAGGTCGATCAGGAACAAGAAAGAACACTACCGACAGCCAGTTCCGCGTACCAAACGCGCGCCATGAATCTCTTCATTGACCTGGTGATCATCTTCATTTGCATCAGCTTCTACGTGCTGCTCTGTTTGTTCTGTCTGTACCACAAATCGTCGAATTTCATCTGCCCGTCATGGGTCAACGGCAGGGACGTCCGGCATCTCGGATCCCATCGCTCGGGTAACGGTTCGACCCCGGGCGTCTACGCGCCGTCCAGGCAAGTGGTGTCCACCATTTCCTCATCCGTCTCACTGGACATGCCTCCGTCGTACGACGAAATCCTGCCCGACAGGAAGGAGACGCCTCCGCCCAGTTACAACGACGTATCGCTCATTCTCAGGCCCCCCACAGTCGGCAAAACTGTGCCGTACAGCACCGACTGCTAGTGGACATTGTCCACAATCCGACGACCGATCGCCGTTCACGTAATGTACACATGCTCTGCGAATCGCACAACCTGCTGCCTTGACGATACCCTGGAACAAGAGCACGACAGGCCGTTGTCCTTTTCTCTGAAGCAGCGTAAATGTTGTTAATTTGATATTTTCCTGCTCAATGCCCAACTCAGTCGTTACTAATCTTTGGCACAAAACGAGTCTTCGACGCTTTGGCATAAAACCGTAAAGACATTTTGCCGGAATGATCATTTTCGCAGGCTTCTCTCAAGCCACCATTTGACGACCAGCTATCGTCGCAACGATTCCGGGATTCCGGTAACCTCTGTACATAAAGTATTTTCGTTTGAGTGACCGGTGCTTTTCGTTCATGTACCTGAGAATCGTAGATGAACCGGAAGAAGTAAATTTTTAAAACTGTTCTATATGCGCCAAGTCTGAAACCCTAACGGATTTGAAACATGCGTCAAATCTATAGAGCAAAGTTTCATAATCGTCCTTGAAAACTTTATTCAAACTTTTATAAGATACATTTAATTGGTGTCGCAAACTCATGCACGAACTTCAGCCAATTTAAACAATTTGACTGAAGGACCCTAGAAAATTCTTCCATCTTAAATGTAGACACATGTTGTGATTCTACATGGCCGTTGGCGACGTTCATCTTCATATTCTAAGAATGTGAAACGTCATATGTTTCTAGTTAAAACGGCATATGCAGCCATAAGTAATCACAAATCATGCCATTCTTTGTCTTCTGTGTACTTTATGAGGAACAAATTTTGTACATAATTTGGCGTCTCTACTTTTGATAGATATTTCCTTTTTTCTTATTTTATTTCTTATTATTTTTTTATTTCCTGAGCCATAAAACGGCTATTGCTTCGACCAGACACCAAAAATCCATTTTCTCTGGATGGACCAATGGACGAAACATGTGTCGAAAACTCCATTGCGTCTTGAATGAAAATTTTCTTACCTATGGCAAGCAGTTCCTGCAGATTCAAGTTATGAAATCAAGAGTAGTTCCTCTGTTCGAAGGTTGTACGTGCATTCAAAGGAGAAACTAGTTTTGTGTTGTTCGAGGTACAGAATGAGTACCACAACGTTGGAACGTAGCAGTACCTTGCGCGCTGTCGTTATCGATGACCATCAACCTGTAGGTTCCGCTTCAGAAGAAATAACCTTACTGCTTGACAGCATAATGACGGAGATAAGCGCCGAGCCGTACCGCTCAAAGACTTCTAACATTTCATTCTGTTCGTGTTCTCTGAGTCTCGTTTGGTTACAACCCTCACTTTAGTTCCAATCATCCCAATTTTTTCTTTATTACTTATGTTTATTCTGATAGTGGCATATTATAGATATTTGTGATTTATTTTCTTCATAATATCTTAGATACTGAGTAATATCATAATTAAATACGTGAAGCTTTGAACATCTTCTGCAGTATGGAACCCGTATAACGATCTTCAACGGTATTTTTTCAACAAGCTTCCTACTGATGAAACGGTCCAATGAAATGCATTGTCTTCACCCAGTGCTGCAGAAGTTACAGTCATGATGTCCACTATGAACGCAAGCGGATTGTGTGCTTTTCAGCACTTTTCACGGCTTCTTAAATAGAAATACTTCGCGGCTGCAGGCTCTGTTGATTGCTCCCCGCGGATGACACCGACGAAAAAGCGATATCATGGAGTTTCTCTTTCGCTCTATCGAGAAGGGATGTGATATCTGATATTTTCGCCAGAGATTGCATCTTCTGATATTTTATTCAATGACACCAACGAATGCTAAACATTTTCAAAAATGATCACCCTTTGTGACGCACAGGTCGCATTATTGAACTTTCAACAAGGAAGTTGTTTTTGAACCGTACTGAAAAATAGGATGACCGAGAAAAGAAACAACTTGACTTTATTTGTTAGACCAGTGCTGTTTTCGCACCGAAGTTTTGCATGGCTGTCGCGTCGAAACTACTTCTTCAGGTTATTTGTGTATTTTGAATAAAATTTATTCAAATCGATCGCTGATGTACTTGAGAGGACCAGTTTCCACTTTTCAAAGTAATTTACTTGTTAGAAAGTGCCTAACGCGCAGCAGCACTTTTTTCATTGCAATTCTTTACTTGATCATAAAAAATTCCATCAGGTAGTCTGTATGATGTATGAATGGATTGTTCAATTTAAAGAATTTCCGTCCTACATACATAGGACATAACTGAACGGTGTATTATGCTTTATTTGTAATGTAACGTTATGCACTGAGAAACGAAGTGCGTAGAGTGGTATGTGCGGAATCAGAAGAGACAGAGCGATGAAGATAGATGTTACAGCATCAATGGTAGTGTATCAGGTTAGTATTGCGATACGGACAAAACTCTATCATACTTTAAATGAATTTAACGGTCTTCTCATCCCCGCAAGAGCACTGAACTGATAACAAGCTGGTGGCAAAAGAGAACCATTTGGCGTATTCTCTTGTCACCCAATATAAGGATACTTTTATACGGAGATGTACTAAAAGAACTGTCGTTCAAAACAGGCTAAGGACGATGGGAATTTGAATATCACTTTAATTCAGGACTCAGAACAGCTGCATCAGAATCGAAGAGTTTTTTTTGATTCCAGGTAATCAGTGGTCAGCATAACAGAGGCATGTGAACTGTTTGTGCAATGTCATACTGACTTCACTGATCGACCACTGGACAGCAGAAAAAAGCCGTTAGTGATCGCAATCGTGTACACACTGGACTCAACATGGATCAAACGGCTTACTTCAATTCACGGTGCGGTTGACGTTCGAATTGTCAGAGTCTACGGAGCTTTCAAACCATGGTACTTTATTAACCACATGCAATTGTGGATGAGGACAAAGACTGGGGTATAGATTTTTGCAGGAATGGGAACTATGGAAACTTACTGTATTGACTGATCAATAACTTGCCGTAAATGACTATTTTGAATTTTTGTTGTTTCAAGGCAGTTTCGAATGCACTCCTGCCGTCGGCTTAGTTCAACTGTGAGTAGTATTTAATTCGAATTCACAGTCATGTTCAACAATCGGCTGCATCGTTCACTTCCGTGTCGTTTCAGCTTGGAATCAGCGCTCGAGTAAACTGTTTCACCAATGTTTTTCGACTGGTATCGATGCTGACGTCAGCACATGGTGTATTCGTTTTTACTACCTGCTGATACACATCTGTCATACGGTCTGAAGAAAAGCCGATGAAAATCGAATAAGGTACAATGGCGTTCGAACCGCAAAGCAGTTGATTGCCATTTATGGATCTCGATCGAAGGTGCTATAAAACAGTTGGCATTTTGGCACGATTTTGTGGTGGATAGTGGAAATGACCCATGGGTTTCGTACGTTGTTTTAATTAAAAATGGCTCCAATTTGTGGGATTGCTTTACGCCTGTTTGAATTGCGTCGTGCTCTGTTTTCCACTTATATCCTCGGTTTTGCTTTATGAATTCATTATCACAGCACGAAACTGCTCATAGCAAGAAATAATGCAATGTCTATATTTACGTCACCGGTTTTTCGTCTAGGTGAACAGGTGTGTTGTGTGATCGAAATTGTGGTAAGTAAAAATATGGAACACACAAAAATAAGTACATTACCATAGAGCCGGACCTAGTTAAATTGTACCCATCAGAAAGACATCTAAGAGCAAGGGGTTGTGCAGTAGTGCTGCTGGTGTAATGTAATCGATTCTTTTTTCTTTACACTGAATTTTCGCCGTTTCAATCCGGTGTCGTTATTCTCAGTGTGATATCTTCAATAGCAGTATCGAAAGGTCCCCCAGAACATCTGACTTATGCCTTGTTATTTATTGACATATGAAACTTGTGCTGTTTATTTCTTGAGGCAGTTTAGTGCTGCTTTCTCTACACAATGCATCATATGTGCATAGGCGTTGGGTCTTTGTGATTCTATGATCGGCAGCACGAAAACTGCCGTAAGGAAAAAACAAGACAAAACGCATCCTTGATTCAGTGGTGTTTCTATCGGGTGATCGGATACGCTGCTTGATCAGGTTCCAGGACACGACAAGGCAAAGCATTCGATATCCTTAAGCTACCTAACCCTTGCACTGCTCATGGCTGTCTTCCCGTAGCTTTTTCTCAAGAATCCGCTTGCGAATCTCCCCTGCGGCATTCACATCACTCACTCGAAACATCTGTAAGCAAGATACAGATCTTGTGCTGTTTTTTGCAGCAGTTTTCGTTCTCTGTCATCCATACAATGGGCCATATGCGCAGAGGCAAGAGTGTTTTTTAATTCCAAATTTGCAGCGCGATTACTGCTGCAAAAAGCTATTTCTACAAGGTGACCGGTAATGCTAAATGGCTGATTTCAAAGACGTGATAATGCCAAATATCCAATATGCTCAAGCAACCTGCTCCTCTGTCGGTCCTCTACCATCTTCAAAGGAATCCTTTGGGTTTTTTTCTAGTGTCTCCTGCGAGATCCTGACAATGAATAAAGTTCAGAACTTGTGCTTCTTTCTTGCATTCAGAAGATTTCGTGCTGTCTCCGCCACAGAGAAGGTCATACGCGTATAGGCGGTTGGGTTATCTGATTCTGTGATGAGAAGCACTGCAAGAAACAACGCAAGATCCATATTTAACTGATCGTAAATATTGTGAATATCCGTTAACTGTAAATATTGCCTTCATATATGTAAATCACTTGTGTAAATTACTCATGTTGTTTTGACATATCATAGGTTCTTAGGAAAATGACGTGACAATGCCGTTCCTCATGGAACCTGCAGGAGAATCACATCCCAATAGTTATAAACTTTCCTCTATTTATATTTACTGACGATAAACGCGGCTTAATTTCTGCAAAATTGGTTTATAAATTCGAGATGATATTTCTTTTTCAGTGCAAAATGGCGACAGTAGCAGGAAATACCGTCGCCTAAACGTGAACAGGTGGTATGAAAAACAAAACTGATTTATTCTAATGAAAAATGGTGT